TGGAAAGGTGCGCAAAAAATGAACGAAAATATATTCGCGGCAACTCGTGCACCCCGCCCCGAGCGCCCCACCGCCCCCGAGAGCTTACGGCACGGGCGCACGGGGAATGATGACGTCACGCCCCAACTTCCGGACCCCATAGCAGCCAAAGTAAGTACAATTTCGACTTTTTTTTTACATACCCATACTGAGGGAAGGGTTTTTGACACTTTAAAAAGAAAAAAGAATTTTTTCCAGAGAATTTATTTCCTGCGCACTGCGGGGGTGTCACATTTGGAGGCAACGCAGTTAAGGGGTTAAAGTCAATTAAAAAAATAAAATACTGTAAAGTAAATATTTAATATTCATAAAAAGAAAAAGAATAAAACCTGCTAGGATTTTCCCACAACAATAGCCAGGGTGAACTGGAGCAAAGTTACATACAAAGAACAAATATCACACGACTCTAGGTCAAAGAAACATCAACCCGACAGGCAGCATCGCAGGGGCACAACGGGTAACTGTCACCCTGAGAGCAACCAGCAACCTCGCACAAAGCGACAGAGGACTCAGGGGTCACATTCATCGGACCATATAGCCCCCGCGGGGTTTCCCAGGGCCCTTAGCCTTGGTAACACACTAGGGGAAGCCCAGGCAGGGTACTGCAAACTGGTGCCCAAAACTACCGAGCAAACTTCTAAAGCTGAACCCCCAGGACATGTCCATTCACAGGGGCCAAGCAGGGAGTACCACTAAAACTCAAATATAGAAAAAAGGGACCCAAGGAAGCAGGGGGCAACCAAAGCCAACCCCCCCTCCCCCCCACCTGGCAGGAAAACAAAAACAAAAGAAAAACCCCACAAGAAAACAAAGTACCTAGGCGGAACAGAGCCGGACACTATAATAGGTGATAACTAGCTGTGCAGTACCCTGCGCCCCTACCACTGACAAAAACTACCTCCTACCCAGAGGCAAACAAGGGCAACAAGACCCAAGCTGACTCCAAGGGCGGCCAAGTACCGATCAGTAAAAAGCACAGCAGAGGTAGACCCCAAGATGACTTGTGGAAGGTTGTCCCAAGCCCCAAGGGCAGTACTTACTTGGCACCTAGGGAAGGTAACCCTAGGTGCATGCAGCCCAAGTACCGTAGAATATTAACTGAGAAGGCACAGTAACTGAGAACAAAACTGGAGGCAGAGGCACCCAACCAGCCAGTATCACATCAGCCAAGAACTACCAGTTGGATCGCCGGTGTGAGGGGTCTGGAACTCCCCCTTCCCCCTCCCGGGGAGGGGGGGGGGTTGCGCAGCCAGCGGCGTGGCAACGTGATGATGTCATGCTGGTTGCTAGTTTTCATTTGGGGAGTTCTGTCCACTTGTTCAGCTTTCGATAGCAATTTTTCACCAGAATAGGGGTTTGTTTTGGGAGGCCTACCTTTCTGGATGACAGACCCAGTCATTGGCAGACATAGAATGTTTCCAACCACACGGGGGTTTTCTATAGGTCATTGATCTTCGTGCCTCTCTGAGGGGGTCAGGTTCCTGTCTCGTGATCCCTGGTAGGCAAGAACTCCATGCACTTTGACTGATGCCAGAATGCTAATAGTTATATATCAGCCTGGATAGCTCGGGGAGCTGACAGGGCCCCCCCTCCCACCCTCAGAAAGGGTAGTTACCCTTTCACCAGTTACCTCTGGTTCACCCTCATTTGAACTATTGCATCCAAGCATAGGGACCTCATCTTCTGAAAGGACATACATTGGAACCTCGACTTACGAATTTTTTGAGTTACAACCCCAATTTCATCGGATAATTCTACTCGACTTACGACCTTTGCATCGACTTGTAACTTTGTTGATACACATATGGGTCGACGAAGCGACCCATATATGTATCAGGTGACCTGGTGACACGGGCGACCCTGCTTCAGTGTAGCAGACCGCTTGCTTAGTGACAATCGCGCTTTAATTCTTTGTAAAGAATTTCATAGTTTTCCAGCTTTTTAGTTTTCTAAACATTCAGAGACAATTCTATAATGAATGTTCCAACGATGTGTAAATATTTCATTCAAGATTATCTGCTACCAGAAATTTTAGCCAAATATCCCCAGTTTGCTAACTGTAGGTAGTAACTAAGTGACTGTAACCTATCCACTGCTGCCCACTGGATGGCGGGCGGGGGGTGCAGGACAAACATATCAATTGTGACACTAGCTCTCCACATATGTCAGTTGCTTAACCACTGTGCTGCGCCAACCGAGAAATCTCGTTCTGAGAGTTGTACTTTTTTTTTTAATTAGGCTATATTTAAATGTTTTTTAATGTTTTCATCACTCTTTGTGTTTTGAAATGAAAATGGTTGAGTTTGGAAACATTTTGACATTAACTTTACCTGAACATTTATAAAAACAACAAAAATATGTCCTTAACAATTGCACTATGAAGTTTTTGCCAAAAACAGGTGTGCAGTGCAGGGGTTAATTTAGAAACTGTACTTGTGATCGATCTCGAACCCATTGATGATGTGACGACTTATACTGAATTTTGTAACTAGCTCATCAAGATTGTAACTTGCTTAGCTAAATGAATTGTGGGGTTCAGTTCCTGAGCCCATTATGTGCCTCTGTAACCCTTTCCACTACCGCCCACAAGATGGGTATGAGGTGTATAATAAATGAACTAAACTAAACATAAAAGTTATTATTATACACCATGCCATGGGTTCCTCAGTAATTAAGAAGTGTGCAGTATGGGAAGCAATGCAAAGTTTTGTTGAAACGACTCACCCAAATCAAACTGCAGTAGGCAGTTGCCTTAACCTTTTCAATGATACTGTGATGCCTCCCTACAGATAAATGTTAAAACGTAGGGAAAAAATAAGTCTCTATGGAAAAGTGCTTAGTGAGAGAAACAAGCAGTGAGCCACAACCATGTCCTAGTGGTATGCAGGCAAAACATAGGAGAGAGAGTACCCCAGAGAAGTCATCACTGTCTGATGTGAAATTATGCTACATTGTACCTGTTGATAACCCCTCAAATTTTATTTTAATGTACCTACTAATCTTTGTCAAATTTTCTTACAATGTACCTGTTAAATTTTTTTTCAATTTTGCTAGAAATTACCTACTTAAAATTATCTGTTGGATTAAGAACCTGCCCGAAACACTATGCATGCTAGTGGCTTTACAGGAATGTAAAATCATCAATGCTATGTACTCTCATAAACCCAATGTACCTTCTTGTATAAATAAATAAATGTTATAATGGAAGGGGACTCCCCTTCCAAACAATAACTCCTCTCCGCCTCCCCCCCTCCTCACCGTCTTCCATACACCAACAAGAGTCATTAATAAAGGTGAGCTATAAATTGTACATACTATAATACAAAATGTATGTATATTATGTATGAAATGTATTTTGAAGTTAATATATTTGGGAGTGTGAAATGGATTATTCAATTTACATTATTTCTTATGGGAAAATTCGTTTAGAGAGACCCGTCTCTGAGAACTGATTAAATTCATAAATGGAGGGGGCCACTGTACCTGCTGTGGATGAAATTTCTATACCAGGAGACAAAAACCATCCTAGAACTAAGGTGACTCTCATACCATGAACAGATGAGGACCACAGGGCTAACAACATTGCAAATCACACATGAGAGGGTTGATATCATCAAAACTTTTAAAATACTGAGCAGTTTGGAAGATATTGATCCATATCATTCTTTAAAAAGTCAGATGTAACACAAACAGGGAGCAATGGTTTCAAGCTCAACAAACCACAATGCAGGGCAGAAAATAAGAGATGCTTCCATTGGGTTATAAATCCATGGAACTGCCTACCCGCTGAAGCTGTGAATACCAAAACATTGCTGCAATTCAAAATCCATCTGGAAAAAATCATCAGGACAAATGGAGGTACCTTCGATAAGCCACTGGCTTCCTGTCATTATCGAGGCTACTAGAGAGACAGTGGCCCTCAAGTAAACGAATTCAACTTAATATCATTATGTTAGTCTTAATATTACCAATTATTTATATACAAAATGTACAAATTTTGTGCCCAAAATGGCAGAGATATCTGGGTGCGATCAGTATTGTGTACGATGTCTCATATCCACTGATACCATATTATCACCACCTGAGTCCCAATGACACCATCACCTGAGCCCCACTGACACCATCATCTGAGCCCCACTGACACCACCAACCTGAGGTGGCCTTATTAGCCCCACTGACACCACCACCTGAGCCCTCACTGACACCACCCCCTGAGCCCCCACTGACACCACCACCTGAGCCCCACTGACACCATCTAAGCCTCACTGACACCGTCCCCTGAGCCTCACTGACACCACCCCCTGAGCCCCACTGACACCATCTAAGCCTCACTGACACCGCCCCCTGAGCCTCACTGACACCACCCCCTGAGCCCCCACTGACACCACCCCCTGAGCCCCACTGACACCACCCCCTGAGCCCCACTGACACCATCTAAGCCTCACTGACACCACCCCCTGAGCCTCACTGACACCACCTCCTGAGCCCCCACTGACACCACTCCCTGAGCCCCACTGACACCACCCCCTGAGCCTCACTGACACCACCCCCTGAACCCCCACTGACACCACCACCTGAGCCCCCACTAACACCATCCCCTGAGCCCCCACTGACACCACCCCCTAAGCCCCACTTACACCACCTAAGCCCCCACTTACACCACCCCCTAAGCCCCACTTACACCACCTAAGCCCCCACTTACACCACCCCCTGAGCCCCACTGACACCACCCCCTCAGCCCCACTGACACTACCCCCAGAGCCCCCACTGACACTACCCCCAGAGCCCCCACTGACACTACCCCCAGAGCCCCCACTGACAGCATCTAAGCCTCACTGACACCACCCCGAGCCCCACTTACACCACCCCCTGAGCCCCCACTGACACCACCAAAGCCCCACTGCCACAATCTACATCAGTCTCAAATATAAACATTATAAAAGCCCAATAAACTCAGGTACCTGTACACAACTTGAGTGACGGGATCAGAGAGCCAAAGCCTCCCCCTCGCCAGCACAAGTAGGTGAGTAGCTTCAGCCCGGGACCGGTACACTATCTCCTCTCAGACTCTTGCTCACCTCCACACCTACTCTCCTCCCACTACTGATACACCGGCTTCAATTTTTCTCGTCAACTAACGCCAAGATTGGCAGGTAACTTGATATATTGTAGGTGGTAGAGGAAGGAGAAGAGAATATCTCAGCCATGCAGCTGGTCCGTGTTGTTGTTGTTAGAGCAGCCCGAGTTGGGCTCCTCAACATCACCCCCCCCCCCCGATAAACTACGTGCCCAACTTGGAATTTACGTTTATATTTATTTTCATATTTATTTATTTATTTATTTATTTATTTATTTATTTATTTATTTATTTATATACAAAACGTACATTGGGTTTATGAAAGTACATAGCATATTAAAAGGCAGCCAGGAGTAGCGAGTGAAGGCAGCCAGTAGAGAGTGAAGGCAGCCAGGAGTAGAGAGAGAAGGCAGCCAGGAGTAGAGAGAGAAGGCAGCTAGGAGTAGAGAGAGAAGGCAGCCAGGAGTAGAGAGAGAAGGCAGCCAGGAGTAGAGAGATAAGGCAGCCAGGAAAAGAGAGAGAAAGCAGTCAGAAGTAAAGAGGGAATTAAGGCAGGTAGGAGTAGAAAGAGGAAGCAGCCAGGAGTAGAGAGTGAAGGCAGCCAGGAGTAGAGAGTGAAGGCAGCCAGGAGTAGAGAGAGAGAGAGAAGGCAGCCAGGAGTAGAGAGATAAGGCAGCCAGGAGTAGAGAGATAAGGCAACCAGGAGAAGAGAGTGAAGGCAGCCAGGAGTAGAGCGTGAAGGCAGCCAGGAGTAGAGAGAGTGAAGGGAGCCAGAAGTAGAGAGTGAAGGCAGCCAGGAGTAAAGAGTGAAGGCAGCCAGTAGTAAAGAGTGAAGGCAGCCAGGAGTAGAGAGAGAAGGCAGTCAGGAGTAGAGAGAGTGAAGGCAGCTAGGAGTAGAGAGTGAAGGCAGCCAGGAGTAGAGAGAGTGAAGGCAGCCAGGAGTAGAGAGTGAAGGCAGCCAGGAGTAGAGAGTGAAGGCAGCCAGGAGTAGAGAGAGAAGGCAGCCAGGAGTAGAGAGAGAGAGAAGGCAGCCAGGAGTAGAGAGAGAGAGAAGGCAGCCAGGAGTAGAGAGAAGGCAGCCAGGAGTAGAGAGATAAGGCAACCAGGAGAAGAGAGTGAAGGCAGCCAGGAGTAGAGAGTGAAGGCAGCCAGGAGTAGAGAGTGAAGGCAGCCAGGAGTAGAGAGAGTGAAGGGAGCCAGAAGTAGAGAGTGAAGGCAGCCAGGAGTAAAGAGTGAAGGCAGCCAGGAGTAAAGAGTGAAGGCAGCCAGGAGTAGAGAGAGAACAGCCAGGAGTAGAGAGAGTGAAGGCAGCTAGGAGTAGAGAGTGAAGGCAGCCAGGAGTAGAGAGAGTGAAGGCAGCCAGGAGTAGAGAGTGAAGGCAGCCAGGAGTAGAGAGTGAAGGCAGCCAGGAGTAGAGAGAGAAGGCAGCCAGGAATAGAGAGAGAAGGCAGCCAGGAGTAGAGAAAGAGAGAAGGCAGCCAGGAGTAGAGAGTGAAGGCAGCTAGGAGTAGAAAGAGAGAGAAGGCAGCCAGGAGTAGAGTGAAGGCAGCCAGGAGTAGAGAGTGAAGACAGCCAGGAGTAGAGTGAAGGCAGCCAGGAGTAGAGAGTGAAGACAGCCAGGAGTAGAGTGAAGGCAGCCAGGAGTAGAGAGAGAAAGCAGCCAGGAGTAGAGAGTGAAGGCAGCTAGGAGTAGAGAGTGAAGACAGCCAGGAGTAGAGAGTGAAGGCAGCCAGGAGTAGAAAGAGAGAGAAGGCAGCCAGGAGTAGAGAGAGAGAGAAGGCAGCCAGGAGTAGAGAGTGAAGACAGCCAGGAGTAGAGTGAAGGCAGCCAGGAGTAGAGAGAGAAAGCAGCCAGGAGTAGAGAGTGAAGGCAGCTAGGAGTAGAGAGTGAAGACAGCCAGGAGTAGAGTGAAGGCAGCCAGGAGTAGAGAGAGAAAGCAGCCAGGAGTAGAGAGAGAGAGAAGGCAGCCAGGAGTAGAGAGTGAAGACAGCCAGGAGTAGAGAGTGAAGGCAGCCAGGAGAAGAGAGAGAAGGCAGCCAGGAGTAGAGAGAGAAGGCAGCCAGGAGAAGAGAGAGAAGGCAGCCAGGAGTAGAGAGAGAGAGAAGGCAGCCAGGAGTAGAGAGTGAAGACAGCCAGGAGTAGAGAGTGAAGGCAGCCAGGAGTAGAGAGTGAAGACAGCCAGGAGTAGAGAGTGAAGGCAGCCAGGAGAAGAGAGAGAAGGCAGCCAGGAGTAGAGAGAGAAGGCAGCCAGTAGTAGAAAGTGAAGGCAGCCAGGAGTAGAGAGAGAAGGCAGCCAGGAGTAGAGAGTGAAGGCAGCCAGGAGTAGAGAGTGAAGGCAGCCAGGAGTATAGAGAGAAGGCAGCCAGGAGTAAAGAGTGAAGGCAGCCAGGAGTAGAGAGAGAAGGCAGCCAAAAGTAGAGAGTGAAGGCAGCCAGAAGTAGAGAGAGAAGGCAGCCAGGAGTAGAGAGTGAAGGCAGCCAGGAGTAGAGAGAGAAGGCAGCCAAGAGTAGAGAGTGAAGGCAGCCAGGAGTAGAACGAGTGAAGGCAGCCAGGAGTAGAGAGAGAGAAGGCAGCCAGGAGTAGAGAGTGAAGGCAGCCAGGAGTAGAGAGAGAAGGCAGCCAGGCGTAGAGAGTAAAGGCAGCCAGGAGTAGAGAGAGTGAAGGCAGCCAGGAGTAGAGAGAGTGAAGGCAGCCAGGCGTAGAGAGAGAGTGAAGGCAGCCAGGAGTAGAGAGAGAAGGCAGCCAGGAGTAGAGAGTGAAGGCAGCCAGGAGTAGAGAGAGAAGGCAGCCAAGAGGAGAGAGTGAAGGCAGCCAGAAGTAGAACGAGTGAAGGCAGCCAGGAGTAGAGAGAGTGAAGGCAGCCAGGAGTAGAGAGTGAAGGCAGCCAGGAGTAGAGAGAGAAGGCAGCCAGGAGTAGAGAGAGTAAAGGAAGCCAGGAGTAGAGAGAGTGAAGGCAGCCAGGAGTAGAGAGAGTGAAGGAAGCCAGGAGTAGAGTGAGTGAAGGCAGCCAGGAGTAGAGTGAGTGAAGGCAGCCAGGAGTAGAGAGAGAAGGCAGCCAGGAGTAGAGAGAGTGAAGGCAGCTAGGAGTAGAGAGAGTGAAGGCAGCCAGGAGTAGAGAGAGAAGGCAGCCAGGAGTAGAACGAGTGAAGGCAGCCAGGAGTAGAGAGAGTGAAAGCAGCCAGGAGTAGAGAGAGTGAAGGCAGCCAGGAGTAGAGAGAGTGAAGGCAGCCAGGAGCAGAGAGAGAGAAGGCAGGCAGGAGTAGAGAGTGAAGGCAGCCAAGAGTAGAGAGAGAAGGCAGCCAGGAGTAGAGAGAGAAGGCAGCCAGGAGTAAAGAGAAAAGGCAACCAGAAGTAGAGAGAGAAGGCAGCCAGGAGTAGAGAGAGAGAGAAGGCAGCAAGAAGTAGAGAGAGAAGGCAGCTAGGAGTAGAGAAAGAAGGCAGCCAGGAGTAGAGAAAGAAGGCAGCCAGGAGTAGAGAGAGAAGGCAGCCAGGAGTAGAGAGAGAGAAGGTAGCCAGGAGTAGAGAGAGAAGGCAGCCAGGAGTAGAGAGAGAAGGCAGCCAGGACTAGAGAGAGAAGGCAGCCAGGAAAGAGAGAGAAAGCAGTCAGAAGTAAAGACGGAAGGCAGGTAGGAGTAGAAAGAGGAAGCAGCCAGGAGAAGAGAGAGAAGGCAGCTTGGAATAGAGAGAGTGAAGGCAGCCAGCTGAGAGACACTCTATTACCCTCTCGTCAATCCTTATCTCAACTATGGTATTTGTGCTCGGGGGTTGTACTACCCAAAATCATTTACGTCCTCTAATTACTCAACACAAAGCTGCTATTAGGGCAATATCTAACTCTGGCCCCAGACATCACTCGGTGCCCCTATTCAAATCTCTGAATATGTTGGATATTAAGTCACTGCACATCCTCTCATGTGTATTAAGTCACTGCACATCCTCTCATATATATATATATATATATATATATATATATATATATATATATATATATATATATATATATATATATATATTTTATAATGCTTGATGCTTCTATATTGGAGCGGAGTCTTGAAGTGGGTATATATATATACACATATATATATTGGTGTATACTGGCAGCAGGTTTTCTTTCAAACATGTTTCATTGAATATGACCGCATATTCTGTATTTATTATTTTCTGGTTTAGGGCTTCTATCCCTCTAACTATTTTCTTAGCATCAGGGCTTAATTGAAATAGGAGTTCTCCAAAACTCATTTTCATACTTTTAAGGTGAAGAAAAGAAGTGATTTACTATAGAGTGTATTACACTTATTTGTATAATTTGCACGACGTTTCGAACCTCCATGGTTCATTCTCAAGTGAACAGATCTTACAATACTAGTTGATTTTATACCCGCATTAGGTCAGGTGATAATACAATGAAGGTGAAAACATGGGGGGATACATAAGGGATAAACATAGGGGCTGCAGAAGGCTTATTGGCCCATACGAGGCATCTCCTATCCAAACACAAAGATTAATCCAGTGTAATTGGCCTGTTATGTTGGACATTGTCTTCTATGTTGACATCGATATGTTCTTGTCTTGTCCTTACTCTCATGGTGGGTAGAGTAAATAGTAGAGTAAATAATAGGAGTTTCTAAAACTCTTGTAGAAACAAAGACACTCCGTAAGTTAACATCCCTAAACGGTGGACAGCTAAAAATCCCTCGTCCTAAAGATGGCTACTTTAACCTGACTTCTTATGGTCTTACCCAGGACCAACGAGACCTCTTAAATCTTGGTCTAAATTGTCAATTCTTATCTAAACCAAAGATGCATCAAAAACGCCTGGAAATCGAAATGCTTCTGGACGATATCCATAAGCTAGAAGACAACAAAAAAGTCATCACCACTGACACACTTCAAGCTGAGCTACTTGCAGAAGCAGGGAAAAAACGAGGAACATATTCATCTACAATCTTAACCCCACGACTCAAAGAAGCAGCGAAACAACTAAAAAATCTGAAAGACGTAACAATAAGAAAAGCCGACAAAACAGCAGCATATGTATTGATTCCTACCCATGAATATATGAACAAAATTAGCGACATCCTAAGTGACGACTCCAAATTTCAACGAATCACGAGGAACCCCGTAGAAGACCTTAAGCGGAAAGTAAACAAAACAATTACAGCAATCAACGCAAAGAAAGGTA